GGGGGCGGAGCGCACGGCCCCAGGTGCAGCCGCTGCCCGCGGGCACTGATTGCACCGCCGCCTGGGTGGGCCCGCGGCTCCCGCGCCGAGGGTCAAGGGCGTCGGAGTGCTGGGCTCACACCCTCTGCGGCGGGGGCTCTCCGCTGGCGCTGCGGTAAGTGCGGAGCGCAGTCCATGCCCACTCCGCCCGGCTGTCCGCGGAGGGCATCTCGGGCGAGCGTCTGGTGGGGTGTCGCGGCGGCTTTCGGGGAGCGGGGGTGGGGCAGGAGGTGGGCGACGGGGATTCTGGAGGCGCGGGGGCCAAACTTGGAGAAGAGCAGCGCGATCGGCCGGGCCGCGCGGACTCTGCGGAGAGCAGGGCTCACGTGGGCAGCGCAGCTCGCGGCGCGGAGAGGTGGGGGCGAGTCTCGGCGCTGTCTGTCGCGGGCTCCGGGGCTCCCCTCGGCCGGAGGCCGGCCCGGCACTGGGCCGCCCAGCTCTCGGCTGGCTGCGCGCCCGGGGCCCACCGTCAGCGGACCGACGGGGCTGAAAGTGTGGGCCGCTGGTGGTTCTGCAGGGACCTGGGTTCTCCTCTGCGGGCCGCGCTTCTGTCCGGTAACGAAAGTCACCTACCTGGTGGGCTTGTTTGTGTACCTTATGGAAACAGTGTTCTCCCCCCTTTTCAGGATACTCTGTCTTACTAAATTATTTGTTGATTTCGATTGGGGGTACGTATTTGAAAGAACGAAGAGGTTAATTTCTTATTAACCTCTATAAAGTTTTACATGTTTTGTTAATATGTATTTTATGTGTCATGGTTGTAAGAGGAAGTGCTGCGTGGTTGGTTTGTTTTGTATGCATCAATAAAACTAGGGTCTTCAAAACATGGGGATTAGGGCTTTCCTGTATTGTCAACTGATTAGGATTGGGGGGGGAGGAAGGGGCGCTTGGAGGGGGGGTCACATACTACATCGTCAGCCTGGGAATGGAGGGTGGGAGTGGGATGGGGAGGAAGACAAAGCAGGAATAAAGGGAATTAAGAAATCTCTTTAAGGTGGGGCAGGGGGGATTCACTCAGATAACAATGTAATGTTAGCCCTATGAAGAATGACATCATAGGATGTATATTAGTATTATGTGCATATTAGTATTATGTACATTTGAATGTGTACTTCATTTCAGGGATACTTGAACATGATGGGCAATTCACATTAAACTATGAGTCCCTATTTATGCAGCGCTTATAGTCACTGAGTTGGAGAAGGCTGGATGGCAGCTGGCTGAGTTTTTCAGGGTATAAAAGCGTTCATGTTTTTTGTTTTTTTCTCTTTAAGCACTAGACTCATTTCATAAGGAAAGCTATACAAGGAAATCAATGAATTAGCTTAAGTTCTCAGAACTACTCGTCAAAAAAAGGCAAAAAGAATAAATAAAAACTAAAACCTTAGTAGTGGAATTTAGTTAAAAGTCTATATTTTTAATGTGCTCCAACTTTTCTCACTTGACCCTAAAGTTATTGTTATGTAGAAAACAATGCTTATGAATGATCTGCACCCTTTAATTAGATGTCACCTACACAGGGTTACAGTTGCAGTGTTTCTTGGGGTTAGGAAATTCCAGATGCATTTCTTGCACCATTTCTTGGAATATAAATAGTTACTAGAATTAAGCATTTTAAAAGCGTGTCACTTCATAACCCTGTACTAGGCCTGTTCTACTGCAATTGCAAAAGTCATGCTGCATACCTATTGGATAAAAATTGGTTGATTCAGAAAAAGTATAAGAATGAAACAATCTCACTAGTCAAGGTAATAGCTGTTAATATTTTTCACGTTACAGCGTATAATATTTTGTTAGAATTGTCACAACCTTTATATAGATGAACTGTGTTGTTTCAATATTTAAATGTATACTTATTTTAATTACAAATGCTGAACACCAAAGATCTGCTATTTCTCATTTGTATTTTATTTTAGTTGAATATAATATTAATTGTGTCTCTGGGATGGATGTTTTCTATTAATTTATAAGAGTTTTTATTTAATGAATTTTTACTTTTGCCTTTCATATCCCAGATATTCCTGCCCCACCCTATTTTGTCTTTTGCTTTATTATGATTATGACTTACAGAAGTTTTAAACTTTAAGGTAGCCAAATCTGTTGATGCTCTAAAAGAATAAAATATTAACCCTTCTAAACCATAAAGAACTGTATATGGTTGTGCACATTAGTGTCTTACAGCAGCTGTGACAAAGTACTAACACGAGGGTCTTACAACAAATGTATTGTCTCACAATCTGGAGGCTGAATGTCGAGCTCTGTGCCTTTGCTCTGTTGACTCGTTTTTAGGCTATGAGGGAGAATTTGTTCCCTGCCTGCCTCCTAGCTCCTTGGCAGTCTTTGCCTTGTTGTATGGTGACGTGGTGGCCTTCCATTATCTGTCTTCCTGTGTGTATTTTATAAGGACAGCAGCATCCACATGGGATGACACCCCCCCACCCCCCCCCACC